ATTCCAAAGATTCACAATGCTTTGAGGGAAAATAAATTCTCATTTCAGTCCTCAATGTTTTAGGCCATATCCAGAAAATGTCCACGTTTAAAATTCACCAGTCATCAAAAGCAACCTGGCAGTATTGACTCTGTGAAACCCCTTCACAGTCTTCAATGTTTCAATGAGATCACACCTTATTTCTCTAAACTCCAGGCAGCATCGACCCAATTTTCTTAGTAACTCATACATCAAACTTCCCAACCCAGGAAACAGTCAGTGCTTAATCAGTGTACCACTAAGCAGCTAAATCATTCCCTAAATAGGGAGAGCAAAACTGCACACAGTATACCAGGAGTGGTATCATCAAAGTCTCGTACAACTGTTTATTCTTGTACTCCAATACCCTTGCAATAAAAGCTAAAAAGCCCCAAGAACATAAGAAATAGGAGCAGGAGTAGGCTATATGGACTATTGAGCCTGCTCCAACATTCAGTAAGATCATGGTTGGTCTTTTCATGGACTCAGCTCCATTTACCTGCCTGCTCACCATAACCCTTAATTCCTTGACTGTTCAAAAATCTATCCATCTCTGTCTTAAGAAAATTTAATGAGTTTGAACTTTCCAAATTACTTGTCAAATCTGTGTGCTGATTTTCTGTGTTCCTTGTTTGAGTTGTTACAATGACAGATCAGAACCTCAAAGTGCTGTTGACAATTTTTAACTTGCAATTCCAAAATGTGTTTTTAAAAGAGAGATGATCGAGCCAAAAATGACTATGGATGTCAATTTAAGTGGCTGTCTAGACAGAGAGAATATAACACTTAAAGTGTCAAAAAAGTTTCAAGCAGATTCAGGCCCGAAACGTCAGCCTTCCTGCTCCTCTGATGCTGCTTGGCCTGCTGTGTTCATCCAGCTCTACACCTTGTTATCCCTGTACTCTCTCTCTCTCACATTGTACTTCTGACCACAAAGATAACAGGAGGCTAAAACCCCAGCTCAACAGCAAACTACTCCACTGCAGATTATTCTCCAAACTGCAGACACTTGTGCATTTTGTTTGAAAAAGACACAAGGAAAGGGTTTTAAAATGCCAGTTTCAACTCTACTGGAGTGTACTACTAGGACCGAACGCTGTTATACGTACCTGCCTGGGTTTGAAGAAGTGGGGCCAGGTCACTCTTCCTCTGCTTGGAGATAAACATTTTGTCATACCCAATCTGGAACCAAAATGAATTGTGGAACCTTACCTGGCACATGGTCATAACAGAAACCTCTCTGACATTAACATTTGCAACTTACATGTGTTTTTTAAGAAATAACCCGCATTTCCATTCTTCCAACCAAAGTGAATAACGTCATGTTTTCCCACATTATACTCCATCTGTCACTTGTTACCTATTCACTGAATTTATCGATATCTCTTTGCAGCCCGTGTCCTCCACCAAATTTGCATTTCAACCTAGTCTGGTATTGCCAGCAAACTTGGGTACATTTCTCTCTGTCTCTTTGTCTAAGTCTCTGATATAGCTTGTCCCAGCACTGGTCTCTGATCACCTATGTTGACTTTGATCGATCATATTATTTTCTAGAAGGCATCCTTACTCATAGCTTCGAGCACATTCCTAAAAGCTGTCAGTTAACTGGAATGTAGTTCCCTGTTTTCTTTCTCTCTGTCATTTCTTGAAAAGTGATATTACATTTGCTAACTCCTAAACTGCTGAGCTTGTTCCAAAATAAAGGGAATTTTAGAAAATCATATCCAGAGTATTCGTATCTTTGCAACCATCTCTTTTAGAGCAATAAATGTAGGCCATCATATTCTGTTTTTTTTTGTATTTTGTTTCCCTAGATTTATCTAGCACATTTTATATGCTCATATGATTTCCTCAGCTTTTTTAGTGCCTAAGTCAGTGTTTAGTATGTAACTTCATCACCATCTCCTTTGATTCACTAAAATGCCAAAAATTTGCCTATTCCAGCGTTAGATACAGTACACAATGCAGCATCCACAGACATGTAGGCTGTGCATCTTTGGAATTCTGCAGTATTTTGAGGGAAAAAAATTCTCATTATAGTCCTCTATATTTTAGACCGTGAAGACAGACACAAATATTTATTCAAGGTCTCTGCCATATCCTTGTGCCCATAATAATTTGTTTTGTCTCTGCTTCTAGGGGACTAATGATTACTTTAGCTACTCGCTTCCTTTTAACATATGTGTAAAAGTTTTTGCACTCTATTTTTATATTCCTGGCTTGTTTGCTCTCATGTTCGGTTTTCCCTCTTTTTTTAATCCACTTTCTTGGCAGCCCTTTACTGGTTTCTAAAACACTTCTAACCCTCAGACTTGTTTCTCAGCAAAGGTCCAATGGGCCTGGGTTTACCGTTTGATCTTGAGGGATTCTTTTGCTACGTTAAAATTGGTGAAGAAACAAGGGATGAAAGGTTCCTGCTACAAATGCTGCTACTCACCAATGAAAAATCAAAAGTTTCAACATTCAGATCCCTTTAAGCTCAATTTTTTTCACTGCCTAGCTCTTCTTTCAAATCTCTTGCACCTGGGAAAACCCTCTGATCAAGAGAGAAGTCAGGCATTGTGTTCCCAGACCACTGAAAACATTACTAGATGTCTAATTGCTTTCCTTGTGCAACAAGTATACTACTTGGGGAGTGGCCAGTCTGTGTTCATTGCAATCCCTCTGGATTGGCCAGTACTCATGGATTGGCCAGGCCAGAATCTAGCTAGTGTCGATTTGAGCCAGCTTACTTACAGATTTAAGATTATTTACTGAGGAGTTCAATGAAGAGACTGACAGAGTTTGACTGGATTTGATACAGTTTAATTGAAGACCAATGGTAGAGTCTGATAAATATTGTTTTTTCTTAATAAAGCATTCAATAATGCTGTGTTGGACCTTCCCTCAACACTTGTCCCCGTTTGTCTACTTCACAGTGTAACATGCCTGCATTAAAAAGGGCTACCGTAATCTAACCAAGTTTAGCCAGGGTACATTTACCCACATTTCACTTTACAACAATAATACAAGGAGCAATTGAGCATCAAGAAACCGGGGCGAAGTTGGATGTTAGGAATTGGGGGGAAATGGTTTGCTGTTTTATGTTTTGCTGTTAGTGGGGTGGCATGGTGGCTCAGTGTTAGCACTGTTGCCTCACAGCACCAGGGAACCGGGTTCGATTCCAGCCTTGGGCGACTGACTGTGTGGAGTTTGCACATTCTCCCCGTGTCTGCTTGGGTTTCCTCCGGGTGCTCTGGTTTCCTCCCACTGTCCACAGACATGTAGGTTAGGTGGATTGTCCATGCTAAATTGCCCGTAGTAGTTAGGGATGTGTAGATTAGGTGGGTCTGGGTGGGATGCTCCAAGGGTGGGTGTGGACTTGTTGGGTTGAAGGGCCTGTTTCCACACTGTAGGAATTCTATGATTGGAATGACGGGCATCCTTTGAACTCTATCCCTGCTTATTAACAGGTTCCAGACTATCATTTCAAGATACACAAAAATATCCAAATCAATTATTTAGTTTCATTGGTTGATCATATCATAAACTTATCAAAAGTACTGTAACAGTCTATGTTTGGTTCTCTGGCATTAGCCCATTAATTAATTTGTGGTCAGCATGCCAGCCCCAAAGCAGTGCTGCTGAACTCACCATTTTTAGATAGTTTATTTGAGACACTCACATTCTAATTGTTTTAATAAAACTCCAAAATCTAATTGTCCTCAATGCTGAGATAGCTGTTCTTAATAACTTGTCCACTTCTTCTTGTCATTTGTCTCATGACAAGAAAATCAAGAAGTCTGTTGAGACTCCTGTGAAGTAAGCCTATTTTTTGCAGCATACACTGAAAAGTTAATTGTTGCACTAAATGTGAACAGTGGTGCTGTGTGCCATTACATCATGGCACTCAATAACGAAGACTAGAGCTACAATGATGCTTACTATTCTTTACAATCAAACGAACTATGAAGGCTATCTTCAGCTACCAGTTTCAATACTGTGGGAAATCAGACCTTGTATTTACACCCTCCTAACAGTAGAACTGCAGCTGTTTCACTAAGTTGACAGATAAGAACCCCATTATGCATTCACACTTGGTTTGTTCTCAACAATCTCTTTCAACAGAAATGTATAAGCCATGTACGGAGGGACACAGTCTTTAAACAAGTCACACTGACCAAATGTTGGTGAGACAAAAGGGTGAAATATTGGGTGGCATTAGGGTTGCCAACGTTCCTTTAGTAATTGAAGAGTAATCACCCAATGTTGCCACAAGGATCCCAGGAAAAAAATGCAACACAGCATCAAACAAAAAGGACAGGGGGGGCAGTGCATTATTCATTTTCTTTCTGCACTTTTATTTCAGCTACAAAACTACTGAAAATAGAGGGAAGAAAGAGAGATGAGAGATTGCTTGGGTAGTTAGAGGCAGGAAGTCACGTGATAAAATCTCCTGTAACGCCCAGCTAGAGTTGAACAAGCAGATGGCATCAATGCACAAGTCCTGGTGTTTGAGAAGGAGCTAGTGAAAATCAGATAGCTTTAATAATTACTGCCTAAAAGACAGGGGACAGATGTAATTGAGTAAAGAAAAAGTGAACGTTGATTTTACAGCCCACTGAAAAGACAGACAAGATGACTCAGTATCTGAATGCTGGAATATTTATTTCAGCTTAGAGCTCTATAAATTGCATTTTTACACTAACGTTACGGCATGAGTTTATTTACTAAAGATGAGTTAACGCAATCTGTTTGAGTAAAATAAATTAAAGACAGAGAGTGGATTGAAGAATAAGTGATCAGTCTCTAGGTCTCTAGAGTAAACAAGTGTGCAGCCTCAACGTCATATTCCCTATGCATTCCCGACTAAACTGCAAAAAATTCGTAAAGTGCACCTCAATAAATTTCAAGTTTGCACCAATACTCATTCATAGTTAAACTTATTAATATTCTTGAAATGACAGAAAAGAAACAATATTGTTTGTAACTTCCAATCCTACCTCCTGATTGGCTGAAGACAGTTGTTCTTCTAGTGTCGATACTCTCTCCAATGCAACTCGAAGTCGTTCTCGAACCTTGAGAGATTAAGAACAGGAAACTGCATTCAAGAACTTTGCGAATCATCCTTGTAGGTTATACTAATGAAACTGAAATTAGGATTAGAGCAGCACAGTAGTGGTGCAACACATACCAAAGAACAAGAGGACCCAACTTTAGAGTCACAACAGCCTAGTACATACAGGTTACATTTTCTAGCCGCGCTGTGGTTCTGTGAGTTTAAACAAGAATAGGCTGTACGATAGTGGGGAGAGGGGATATCGTGGTCAGAGCAGAGTGGGGAATATGAGACAGAAGTTGATTTTCAAGTGCTTAATGGTTGCAACACTCTACTTATGATTCAGTCGATAAATCTCGAGTGGGTTTGCACCCTCTGAATGGATGGCATATCTGGCATCAATACGTTGCCACGTTACAAAACAAAATCCATCACTGAACAACATGCTTGTTACAAATCTGATCACAAACACAAGCATGCAAAAGTCCAGTATATATTACAACCACAAATGTAAATTGGCGATCCAGTTCCGCAGCGAGAGACAAGGTCAACTGAATGCCACAGATATAACACCAGCAATCCCTAAAACAGAAACTACTTTTCTGTGATCTAAATGTGGCAGTATGATTGTACGCAGAGCTAGCTGTGCTGCTGGGAAAGCAGGAAGGAGAGATGGAGACAGAAATTACTCATATTGACACTGTTTTCTCAGTAAATAGTCAGCATGGTAGCAAGCACATTGCAAAAGGGAAGTCAATAGGGCTTGTGACAATGAAGGGTAATTTTTGTAATAATTCAAACACAGTCTGTAGTGATAAAGGTCTGAAGTCTGAATATATCTTAGAAGGTAAAAGGATCATAAGGAAATTGTGGAGAATGAAAAGTCATTCTATGGACAGAGTACAGAAAAATCACTAGGATTTACTTTCTCAGGATACAAATAATCTCCCTTTTGGTGAATTGCTGTTTGCTCAGGTCATGAATAAGCTGATCAGTACCATTAGTTGCAATGGATAGTGAGTACCAACTGACTTTAAAATAAAATACTGTGACATGTGGTAACAAACCCACCTCTTCTGGACATAAGAACATAAGACCATAAGATATAGGAGCAGGAGTAGGCCATCTGGTCCATAAGCCTGCTCCACCAGTCATTAAGATCGTGGCTGATTTTTGCATGGACTCAGCTCCGCTTATCCACCCACTCACCATAACCTTTGACAACATTACTGTCCAAAAATCTATCTTTGCATTGAGAACATGCAATGAGGCAGCCTCAACTGCTTCACTGGGCAGGGAATCCCACAGATTCACAATCCTTTGGGTGAAGAAGTTCCTCCTCAACTCAGTCCTAAATCTGCTTCCTTTTATTTTGAGGCAATGCCCTTTGGTTTTGGTTTCACCCACCAGTGGAAACAACCTCCCTGCTTCTACCTTATCTATTCCCTTCATAACATTATATGTTTCTATAAGATCCCCTGGTCATTCTTACAAATTCCAATGAATACAGTCCCAGTCTATTAAAACTCTCCTCATAAGCCAACTTAGTGAACCTCCTCTGCATCCCCTCCAGTGCCAATGCTTGCTTTCTCACATAAGGAGACCAAAACTGTACACAGTACTCCAGGTGTGGCCTCACCAGCGCTCTATACAGCTGCAGCATAACCTCCTTATTTTTAAACTCTAAACCTCCAGCAATGAAGGACTCTCATTGTGCTCTCAAGTTCCACAGCGATCCTTTGGTAAGCTCTATGTGATATCAACTATTGGTATCAGTGGCAATTCATATGAAATCTCATACTGACACACATTGCTATCTGTCACTTTCTAAGTTCTCTCTTCAGTGTTATATTTCAACTTTCCCATGTAATTGCACCAAGTTTCTGTTACATTGGCAACCTGAGCACATGGAAAACACATGGATGTTTTGGGTTACCTCTACATGCGTAGGTAGATAAGCCACTAACATAACCAGCATGCTAATGGTCTCCATGAGTCACATCATTATAGGGGTCACTTCAAAAGGACATGGAGATTGAATTAATTATGTTGTGAACTGCAGATAAAATCGAACATTCCTACAGCATTGCCTCACTAGATCCCAATGTGGCAACTGCCTATTTGGGAACATTCCACCTTCGGCAATAAATAACTAAAGACCAGTTTGGGACATTTTCAGTCATGGGGATTGTGATTTGTCACTTACCCAGGGCAATTCTGACAGAGATAGGCAGCACCTAAATTTTAGACTTTCATTTACTATTGTGTAGAAGGGCTAAACATCCTTTCCAATATCAGTTGCTTCTGCACATGAGGGAGCTGAGCAGAATTTGCAGAAAGCACATGGTGCAGCTAGCCTTCTGTTCTTCAAGGCAATCTTTAAAAGCAGAGCAGCAGAGAGCATGGATGTCATTGAGAATGTTCAAGTCGACAGTATGTTTCTTCCTTCTACCTCTTCTCAACATTCATCTCACTCTCCTCCTGCTATCTGACATACTTTTCTTTTATTTGATTTATTATTGTCACACATATCTAGGTACTGTAAAAAGTTGTGCGTGCAGCTCAGGCGAATCTTGCTAAAGTGCATTAGGGTAATAGAATAGAGTGAAGAATACAATGTTACAACTGCAGAGACGGTGCACAAAGAGTGAGATCGACATCAACTTTAAAGTTTGAGAGGTCTATTCAGAAGTCTAACAATGGCAGGGAAAAAGCTGTTCTTGAATCTGTTAGTACGCGTGTTTAAGCTTTTGAAGTGAAGAAAACTGTAGATGGCATCATCATGGACTTTAGTTCCCACTCCATACTCTTTTCACTCCCTAGCCATCTCCTGCTGATTTTCTGCTTCCACATACTCAAGACTATCATCTGCCCAACCACAGCAGCCCAAAGATGATGAAGAGCAAAAGCACGGGACTAATGAAGAGATCCCATCAATTGATTTGATTCACAGTCACTGGGTCTGATACCAATATTACACATAGCTTAGAGGGTGATTCAATGTAAATCACCAAGCATTAGTATGTGGGGAAAGCTTGGTCTCACAGCTCCTTCAGTGATAAGTTTTGAGTGGATTCTGCTACTGGGGATTCAGATGAGGAGTTCATTGAGATGACTGGTGAATTGGTTAGTCTGCCAGACAGTCTCTGGTCACTACTAAGCAGCACAAATGACATGTATCATTGCAGCAGTTAGAGTGTGTAGAGCTGTAGAGAAACAGCTGATGCAGAAGACAGCATGCACCTTTTCAGGCAAACTACATAATTAGTGAAAAGTATTACAGATATAGGACTGTGGAGAGGGACTGTAGAAACAGGATTAATTCTGAATTGTTCTGGCTTTAGTGCAAAAAGCCTCTACGTACTGAGAATCATGATCTAAGTGGGTATAGTTCTGCCACCGATCAAAGTAAAAATTCACTTTTACCTCCAATGTTTCCAGTTTAGATAAGACATCTGAAGCCAGCAGGATTAAACTTTCAAACTGGAGAGAAAAAGTATAGCTGTGTCCCAGAGTAACACAGACCTGTTTACATTTGCTTGTGTCCATATAAATCTAAAAGTGTGCCACTTTCAAATTAACTTAGGGATGGGCAGGTTTACCAAATTGATTTCTGTGATGACAGGACTGACATGAGGAGAGTTAGATTGTACTCACTGGAGTTTAGAAGAATGAGGGGGTGATCTCAGAGAAACGTATAAAATTCTAACAGAACTAAGACGCAACATGGATGCTCCTGATGATGGGGGGGGTTGAGGATCAGGGGTCATCGTTTAAGCGTAAGGGGCAAACCTTTAAGGACTGAGGTGAAGAGAAATTTACTCACCCAGAGGGTGGTGAGCATGTTGAATTCAATGTCACAAAAAATGGTTGAGGCCAAAATATTCCGTGTTTTCAAGGAGGTAGACATAGCTCTTGTAGCTAAAGGAATCAAGGGATATTGGGGGAAAGTTGTATCAGGGTATTGAGCTCCATGATCAGCCATAGTCATAATGACTGGCAAATCAGGCTCGAGCGGTCAAATGGCCTACTGCTGCTTTTACATTCTACCTTTCTTTATTTGTAAATAAGAATAATATTACTTACATTGTGCCAGTTGAACTTGATCTGATCATCTCCCTTATGAGAATACATGACTTTGGATTGACTCACATTCCCAATGAACTATGTAAAATTCCCTATAAAGCCAACTATGTGGCTGGCAATCCAATTTTACCAGGAACTAGCAACAGGACAGGTAAAGTGAATAAACCAAGTCAGATCACAGGGTTGTTGGAGAGCGAACAGCTGACTGCAGTATTTGAAAACCACTGTCCAAAATATTACCAATTCAGTTTATAGCTCTAGAAAAAAATCAATTGGAACAGAATTGATCAAGATCCTCTGAAAATAGAAACAATTGGAGTAACTGAGTTATGAAATTCCATTACGCTATAGTCCCAACATTTAGAGCAACCACTTTATTTTTAAGCAGCACAGTCTATTCTCATTTCAGATGTAGGGAAAGACCAGAACAGAACTCTATTCCCAAGGCTACAGTATTTATGTCAGAAGCAAAATCGATGAACAGTGAAATACAAATAATGAAAACCCAACACAGATAAGCATAATGCCACTTGGCATCTGTCAAATAACAAATATTCAATTTCTATTTCTCCCTTCTTACAGTAAGGTAGTCCCAGCTACCAGCAAAGCTTTTCACATTCAGGGACAGCCTCAGGTCTTTCCATTTCTCAGCATTTGGCCAAATTCTATGAAAACCCAAAGTCACATGCAGCAACTGCCAATCACACTGGTAGTGAATTCCAGTTCGAGTCCACAGTAAATACATAACAACATACTGAGCCCAAGACTTTTGAAGAATAGTCACTCAAAGTATTTCAAATACAGCGTTTCACTCCAAAATCCAATTCAATCTTTACCGAATAGAATTTGCTTTATTGTCACATGTAATCACTTGAGAACAGTGAAAAGTTTGTAAGTCGCCAGTTACGACACCATTTTAGGTACAAAGGTACCGAGGCAGAGATTCTTGAGTACAAATTCTTTAGGGAAAAAAATTTAGAAAATAAAGAAATAAGAAGTCCAGCATTACAGACCTTCAAAAGTATAAAATCATAGTAATTAGAAAAAAATGAGATTAAGAAATTCAGAATAACAATCTCTCTCTCAAAATGAGAACAGGTTCCCAGCAGATCTCGAATCACGACTCTGAAGAATTGGAGTTTAATCTAACATTGCTATTTATTATGTGCTTTGCGTAAGTTCACAAAAAAGACACAAGATCCTGAATTATATTTTGTTCGCAAACCACTATTTACATTCTCACCTTTTCATCCAAAGCTTTATGATGTTCAAATAATGATTTCAGAGCCTTCAGGACTTCCACTTCACTGGACACTCCCGATGGAGATTGTGATTGTCGCTTGACCACAGTCATTCGTAGAGATCGCTCATGTCTTGACACAAGGCACTCCAGATGTTCAAGTAATAGCTGTCGAATAAATATGGTGGCATGCATTAGTTGACTTCACCATTTTAGCAAGTTCATTGAAAACAAAGTTGGCCCACATTTACAACTGGCTGCTCAAACATCCCAGCACATGTTGGCCATCATTTTCATGTGTCCAAGAATAATTTTGATATGGTTTTAAATTAATGTACTCATGTCAGTAACAAGAACTACAGCAACATTATTTAGCAAAATGGCTCAGGGCGCTTCACCAAGGGATCTTAGACAATATTTGAGACGTGTAAGGAAACAGTAAAACAAATTGCTCAAAGGTTTGATCAAAAGAGTTCAGGATCAGGAGTAATCTTAAAGGAAGTAGAAAGGTCGGGAGAGGAAATTCAAGAGGTTAGTGTTAATTGTGAAGCAATTGTGTTTAATTATGAGCAAGTGAAGGGTACTAATTGCAGATTTACTTGAAAGTATAGATAAAGGCACTTAATGAAACTCTTGTCGGCTTGTGATAGGAGGTATATGCTTGTAATGTTTCACTCTAAATAAATGTAATTTTAAGTAAAGTTTAGCTCCAGTATAACCACAGATCAAGTGGTTTTCCAGATGACAGCATTTAGGGTCTAATCAGCTGAAGGGTCAGCCACCAATGGTGACATGATAAAATTGGGGACGCACAGAAAGAATACACCTATAATGTTAGGAGCACAGACACCAGAGAGCTGAGAGGTTGAGGACATTTCAAAGACAGGAAAGGGAGGGATTAGAATGCTAAGATGACATTTTAAAATTGAAGAATTGGCAGACTAGAAACCAATGTATGTCAGCAAGCACAGCAACGACTGGTAACTAGAACTTGCTGCCAATAGGACACAGACAGCTGAGTTTCAGCATAAGCTCAGATTTACAGAGAATGGAAAATGTGAGGTTGACCAGAAAGTGTTGGAAGGTGAGCTGAGGCAGAGCAGAGTTAAGGATCTGGAAGTAGGCAGTTTTGGTTATGGAATAGTTATCTGGTTGAAAATCATCTTAATATTACAGTCAAGCCAGGGCAAGCCATTTTGTTGTGTGGTCCAGTTGTTAATGGAAAACTCTAAACCCTACTCAAATATGCTCCTCATTTCCTGGGTCTTTTGGTGTTAGATGGCATGTCTCCATGCACCACTCTGGTGGGGATAATGTACAAAATTTTCCAATCAGCTACAACATAAGTCGTGCTTTTGATACAATAAAAAGTCGCAAAGTATTTCATGGTTTCGCTATAAAAAGAAAATCACATAGAGCCACATAAGCAGATATTAGGGCCGATGACTAAAAGCTTGGTTAAAGAGGTTGGTTTTAAGGAGTATCCAAAAACAGGAATATGATGCAGTGATGTGCAAGGAAGGATAGTCCCAAGGTTAAGAGCATAGGTAACTGAACATATGGCCATCAAGGGTGGGGAAATTTAAATCAGATTTGCACATAAGGCCAGAACTAAAAGAATACAGAGTTGGAGAGCTGTGGGATGAGAGGAAACTACACAACTAGGGAAAGTGAAGAGCAAAGGGGAGTTGAAAACATAGAATAGAATTTTAAAGTCAAGATGTTGCTTGATTAGGAACCACTGCAGATTAGCCACATTGATAGGGAATTGTTAATTGATGTGAATTAAGACATAGAAGCAAAACTTCTTCAGCCAGAATACATAAGAGGAGAGCGCTACAGAGTAAGGAAGATATTTATTAACCAACTTTGATGAAATAAAGAGATGAAAAGAGCATATTGATTAACCAAATGCAAAAAAAAAGAAAAACCTGAAACGACTGAGTCACAAGAAGACAGTAATGTTGACATTAGTATTTTTTGTCCAATTAAATCAGTGTGAAAGAAGAACAACTTAAAAGAAACTGGAAAAGCACCTAAAATTGATGAGATACAGAGAGATGGTTTAAAGTGTGGAGGCATATTTAACATCAATATTTATTAGGCTGTGCAAAGATATTTTAACTTATTAGGAGCATGGCCAGAGGGACTTTGTGAAAACAGTTATAATGAACCCAAGAAAGAAGATAAATGAATGGCGATGACCTGCCTTTTGTAAAACGTTGTACAATTGCCATGCAGATGTTGTTCCGAGAATTGTAAGGAGAGACTAGGTGAGAAAATGTACAACTATCAGAAATGTCCATTTTAGATTCCAGGGAGAAGTGGAATATAAGAAACAATGAACATTATAAAATAATGAGTGACCATAGTTTAGGAATTCTCTCTTTGCTCTGTGCTTTTTTTGAAAAAAAATATCCACTCTGTTGACTGGATTAAGGTCTTGACAGTGTTGAAAGAAATTGAAGCAGTTGGGGGAACAGAGCCAACTCATATCAAATCTATTCGTGAGACAAACAGCAGCAGCAATAGTCAAAAATAGAGAGTTGGAACCAGGAAGAAGAGTGTAAAAAATGTGTTCTTGAACATTGAACTCTTCGAAGTCTCTGCAGAAACAATGATCAAAGAAATGTTAGGCCCAGATCTTCTGATCAGGATCAGAGACCTTTTTTCTGGACCTTGATCAGCCAAAAAAGAAACACACTTCCTGATTTTTCTGAGCAAATTCTGATTCGGGATCCTTCAGAACTATTCAGTTCAGATCAGAGGGAACAGTGCAAAGAACTGGCGCAGAAGCCATGCTCACATTTTAAAGAATTAGATGCTGCATTCGGCAAAAAAAAAGATTTTAATGTCCCAAAGCTTCTCTGAAAGGCAACACAGAGAACGTAAGTACGTGAAGTGTAAGGCGTGTCATCAGGATGGAGGTTAATCAGGTAGATGGCAGTGCGTCAGCAAGGGTAGTCAGTTGTAGAATTACCCACGAGTTCAGTGAGTTTTAATTTTCTGGTCAACATTTCCTGGGTAACTATTCTTTAGATGAGACTTCAACTGAGGCTCCATCTGTCTGCTATGGGGAATCATAATAGAGCCTATGGCTTTGTTTCATAAAGCAGCAAGAAAGTTCTCCCCAGTTCTGTCCAAAGATGGAAAGTGCGCTGTCATTCTCTCATTCCACAAATCCATTCGTGAAAACATAAATTTAAATGCCTGTTACCAAATATGGCCACTTATATCTAAATTAGGTTTAGAACTGAAAGACCCATCAACCAGGCTTCTTCAGTAAACAACATTAGTGATTCACTGTAAAGTAAGACTCAGTAAGCAAATATGCAAATCAAATTAACACAGTTTGCAGCATGAAAGTATAAATATCTACCCTTCTAAATAACCCAACACATAGACACATTCGTCAGATTTTTTTTTAAGAAAGGGAAGATTTTCTTTGCAAAGTAAAGGAAAGCACTTTGGTCAATGATTGCTAATTCTTGGAGGGACAAAGGAAAGGATATGAAAACGTTCCCAGGCTTTCTTAGTGTCTATAAGCACAGTAAGTTGCCACTTGGAGGATGAACTGGGTAGTTTCTTTTCCCCCTCTCTCACGAGGTTATTGCATAATTGAACTCCAAATAATGTCCAAAACAAAAACTAACGCATGACAGGTAAAAAAGCCAGCCATATGATTTCTAGTAATTAAATCCAAGCAATTAGCCTAAGCCATTGATTTCCAAGAAGTGTATTTTAAAAAAGATATTTTAGTCACCCCTTTTCAAAAATCACCAGCCTAGGTATCTCCTCAGTTTTTCAAATGAACCGCTGCCCACAATCTTTTACACATTAATCCCCAAAATAAAAATGAACAATGAAGCACCCTCTTTACACCAGTATCCTGTCCTATATTTATACAAATCATTGCATAAACTGTTTGCATAATTATCACATTATTGTGTTTTTTTCCCCCAGAGTTTGCTGCACACAAATTGACTGTCGAGTTTTCTAAAACATTCCAAAGTGCTGCAATAGCTGTAAAGCACTTTGAGACATCTGATGGTCATGAAAAGCCTGATATAAATGCAAGTCTTTCATTGCACCTTTCACCCTCACCTTCCAGACCACGTTAGTTCCAAGTGTACCTTGGTAACCAATTCTTGAACATTTAACCCTTTGTTAAGAATTTGTAAAGATTAGATTTCTGCCTTCAGCTACTATTTCATTTCTGTGAAACAAGTTGTTTTAAAAATCATCCAATTTAAATACGATTGCAATTGATTGCTGAGAGTGACATTGAGTGTGTAGAAAAAGGCAGGCAGGATAGCAAAAGTAGCCTGTGAAATTCAGCAAGTGGCTAATTGTGCATGGCCCCATTACCAATAGGAGAGGGAGAATAACCAAACAAGGATGCAACAGGAGAGATAGTGTGGCAAGTTGACAAAGAACAGCAAAACGAGAGTGAGGCAGGCAAAGCAAGAATAGCAGTACAGAGACAGAAGAGTTAGTAAGATGGAAAAAATAAGAATAGATTAAATGGCAAGTAGTTGGTGGACAGTCAGCACATCTCTGGATCCATTGCAGGATAGATTTTACCCACACAGGCAAATAAACAGATTCCTCCCCACTGTTATTAGACTTCTGAATGGACCTCTCAAATTTCAAATTTAATGTCCATCTTGCTTCTTGCGCACCTTATTTGCAGCCGAAACTTTGTATTCCTTGCTTTGTTCAATCAGCCTATGATCTTTGTATGTTATGACCTGTCAGCACTGCTCACAAAAGAAAACTTCTCACTGTACTAGGTACATGTGACAACAATAAATTAAGATTGTGTTGCTAGTGCTTGGTTTCTCTCTCTTAACCCTAATCACACTTTGAATTCAATGGCTGACTTCAATTGAATACCTCTAGCTTACAGTGGAGTCATCTGGCTTTTGATAAATTGAAATATATGGTGATTAACCAAGTGAACTGGAGTAAGAATTTAGTTCGTTTGGAAAAGAAGAGTGATACTGTAAGTAGTAAAAGAACAGCAATGAGATTGAATTAAAAGTCATTGTTGACAGGAGATGGTGAAAGTAAGAGAGAAGAAGATGAACTAGTTGAAGAGTAGCTGAAGGAAG